TGCCAGCTGGGTGACTTGGGGCCAATTACCAGGAGACTGTGAGTTCTAGTCTTGCCAATCACTCAATGGGATGACCTCACTACCAGGTGACCCTCAGATGGGGTGACCAGTGAGTCACATGACCAACTGATTACATAAGACCAGTAAAAGCAGAAGAGAACTGAAACAAGGCCCTTCAACCCTTCAACCCAAGCTCTGCTGAAGATGTTACTTAGCCAGATGACAAAATGTTTCGAAACTAAACAATAACCTTGTAGAACAACCTACCGCCAACATCTACCACCCAAGCCACAAATATTTTCACCATTTCAAGTTCAATGGGTGCCTACATCTTCTGTGAAATAGCTTTTCCATTTCATAACCCTTACTCCCCAGCTGTATTTAAATGGACAGCCAGTTCTTTTGGTAATCTTTTAATATTACTTGTGCTTGTTTTGACCTAAGAGGGAATCATATTTTCATTAAAAAGGGAGAGAAAGATGTAGACTCAATTTACGGTATAATTTTAAGGTAAACATTGGGTGTTCCAGAATATGGAGAGACATCAAATTTTAGGAAAGCTTGATGGATTTTTGTTTAAACCAAATATGTCCATAAGCTATAAAACGGATGGGTTTTACTAAGGCAAAAGGGATATGAGGGGGGATTATTTGAATGCAGAACAACTTAAGTTTTTTTCCCCAAAGGTGAAAAGAATTTTGGAGAATTCTCATGAATGGAAGCATGATGTTTTTGCAGTTATATGATAGTCAAAATGTATGTTGTGGTTGCATGTGTGTGTGTGTGAGAGAGAGAGAGAGAGAGAGACAAAGACAGAGAGAAGGACGGAAGGACGGAAAGAAGAAGGTCTCTCTTTCATTGAATAACAAACTTTTAACCACCTTCCTGGATTCCTATCATACAGATAACAGATAATCATAGTTGGAAGGGACCTTGTAGGTCATCTAGTCCAACCCCCCATCCAAGTGGGAGACCCTACACCATTTCTGACAAATGGCAGTCCAATCTCTTCTTGAAAGTCTCAAGTGATGGTGCTCCCACAACTTCTGAGGGCAACTTCTGTTCCATTGGTTGATTGGTTCTCACTGTCAGAAAGTTTCTCCTTATTTCCAGGTTAAATCTCTCCTTGTTCAGTTTCCATTATTCCTTGTCTGGCCTACAGACGCTTTAGAAAATAGCTTGATCCCTTCCTCCTCTCTGTGACACCTCTCAAATATTGGAAGACTGCTCTCCTGTCTCCCCTGATCCTTCTCTTTACTAGACTAGCCAAGCCCAGTTCCTGCAACCGTTCGTTGTATGTTTTAGCCTCCAGTCTCCAATCATCCTGGTTGCTCTTCTCTGTACTTTTTCGAGAGTCTCAGCATCTTTTTTATAATGTGGTGAACAAAACTGGATGCAGTACTCTAGGGGTGGTCACTAAACCTCAAGAGACCTCCTCTTGAAATAACATTCATTGGTTATTTCTTGTTTTGTTTCTGAATGCTCCTACTCATCCAAGTTCTCAAGAAGAAAAAAATTCAACTAAATTTGGTTGAAAAATTTAGGAAGCCCACTTGTGTTTGTTACAGAAGGATAGCTGAGCAATACTCAAATTTTCTAGGTAGGACATGAAGTTTCCTAATGCAAGAGGTGAGAACTCAACTGTGACTCCATCAGATGTTGTTTCGTGAAACTTTAACATGAGTAAAAATTGTTTTCAAAAGGTCACGTAAAATGGTCCTCACTTGATCAGATGGTTGATGCTTTCCCCTGCTTTCCTAATTGAATGATACGTTCTTCTAGGATCGTCCAGCACATGAGAAATATAGTGTCCTTACTTCCCAACCACCTGGCATGTTTGTTTATTTATTTTTAATCCATCTTTATTATTTTTATAAATAACTCAACAGCAAACATGAATAATATTTCTTCCTCCTCCTATTTTTCCTAGAAGAACACCTCTGTGAGATGGGTTGGGTTGGGTTGAGAGGGAGGGAGAGGGAGGGAGAGGGAGAGGGTGGGAGGGAGGGAGAGAGAGTGGGGGACTGGCCCAAAGTCCACCAGCCAGTTTTTATGGCTAAGGAGGGACCAGAACTCATAGGCACTTGGTGATTGGCTCAAACTCACCCAGTCAGCTTTCATATCTCAGGCAGGACTAGAATCCACGGTCTCCTGGTGATGGCCCAAAATCACTCACCTAGCTTTCATTCCTAATGCGGAACTGGAATTCACGGTCTTCCAGTTTTTAGCCTGATGCCTTCACTATTAGACTAGACCGGTGTTGTGGCCTGTCGGCTGCCATCAGACCTAGCTGCAGTTGAGGAGGAGGTTGAGGGGGAGCCTGGAAGACTCTGATAAGGAAATAGCATCAGAGACTGAGTTGGGGCCTTCTGTCCTCCCCCAAGTGGAGAGGCAGATGTCTCCACGGCCTGAGCTAAGTGAGGAGGAGGAACAGATGGGGTCCATCCCAGATGCACATATGCACAGAGAGGAAAGGAGAGGAGAGCAAAGGAAAACAATAAGCCAGCTCTCAGGGTAAAGCAGACGTAGACATAGGGGTGGGATTCAAATTTTTTAACAACCGGTTCTGTGGGCATGGCTTAGGTGGTGGGTGTGGCTTGGTGGTCATGTTATTGGCTGGATGTAGCCAACTCAATATCACTCACATCGAGGCACGCATCTCCTTGCCTGGCCTCTCATGATTGTGGGGATGCTGCAACAGTCGTAAGGGTGAAAAACGGTCATAAGTCACTTTTTTCAGTGCCATTGTAACTTTGAACGGTCACTCCACACAAGCAAAGTACCAGCAAAGGAGGGGAAAAAAAACTCCAGAGATGTTCCTGAGACAGGAAGTCTAGTCCTGCCAAGAATGTAATAAGGGTTTTAACGGAGAGGCCGTTTCTGTAAGCAACCCCAGAATGTTTCCTTCCTGCCTTCCTAACAGGATTAGGCCAGTAATTTCTTCTAACAACCGGTTCTCTGAACTGCTTAGAATGTTAACAACCGGTTCTACTGAATAGGTGCGAACTGGTAGAATCCCACCCCTGCATAGATGCTGGTTAGCCCCTCCGAGACTAGGAAATAAATATCAATGGTATGGGAGTGGCTGGTTGTCACAGACAACTGTTCACTTTTAGGATACAGCAAGCAATTTGGATTTCTTGATCAGGTCTGTTGGGACTAATTACATTTGATTTTTGTTTATCCACGTGAATAAAAGACTGTTCCTGCCCTGTTCGAAAATGGGTTTGTTTGTACTCGTGAGTAAGCGGATTATCATTATTTGCTAAGGCTGGTTCAGAACTAGTGGCTCTCTCTGTTATTTCCACTGCTGATTCCATTGGAATAGCATGCTTTGTTTTAAATAGAACCAACTTCATCCATTCCAAAGCTCATTTTTCTCTTAAATCGTTGGGTTCCAAATGTTTTCATGGAAATCAACTATGCAAAATGGCTAAATGTTAGTTTTACAGGTAGAACTGTACAATCTGTTGTGAGGTGTACTGACGCCGTAGCTAGTGAACTAAATCGTCTAACTTTCTTCCCTCTCTTTCATGCAAAGGAGAAAGATGTTGGTGGTTATTTATTTCACCTAGAGGTCATATTTAGAGTTGTCCTTTTCTCATGGTCCTATTGGGGATAGCAAGAACTGACCATGCAGTCCAGAATGATAGTTGCAAGAACAATTGTCAGAACTGCTATTTTATGCTGAGCTTGCAAACGTTAGCTGCCAGTCTGCCATTGAGTAGGGGGGAGGGAGCTGGTGGGATGCAGGAAGCTGACCCTCATTGTCTTTTCCAGAGAAAACAAGTCAAGGTCAAACCAGATCGGAATGCAACAGCTAACAGCTCTCTAACTAACTCGCCGTGGAAGAGACAGTTCCCAAAACAATTTATTCAAAATTAATTGGACAGTATGGGCGTGCAATTTGAAAGGAACTGGGAAGGAAGTGACTGAGGGGAAAGTTAACCAGGGAAATTTGGTGTGCGAATACTTAGTTCTGTCTTTGCTTTTGACTTTCAGTAAAAGTATACCTTTCACTATGGAATGGAGTCGAGGGTCTTTCTTTTCTAAAGAACCAAGTTGGGGCAGGACTGACAGCGATTTTACATGGCGAAGTGCATCTGCATGGATGGCAGTTTTATCCATCATTAGTGCGATCCCTAGTTGTTGGTTTTTTTTTTTTTTTTGAACCGCTCAAAAAGATCTTTTCAAACTACTTTATCATGATCAAAATTCAAAATTTTCTTCTCCCGGTTCCTTCATGTTTCTTTTTCCCTTCTATCTTCCAGAAGTATCATTATCAAGATGAAGATGCACCACATGACCATACTTTACCTCGTTTAACCCATGAAGTGAGAGGTCCAGAACTAGTCCACGTTTCTGAAAAGAACTTATCGCAGATAGAAAATGTCCATGGATATGTTCTACAGTCGCACATCTCGCCTCTGAAGGTCAGTAAAGCTCCTTCTCTGATGTAAATGAAAACACAAAGAAAAGAGGTATGTTTTTGTCTGATGAGAATGATGGACAGGTAGACCTCAACTTACAACCATCTGTTGAGTGACCATTTGAAGTTACAATGCTGCTGAAAAAAAGTCACACGTATGACCATTGAAACATCCCCCACGTGTTCAAAATTCAGACGCTTGGCAACTGGCATGTACTTACGACAGTTGGTGTGTTCCAGGATCATGGGATCCTTTTGTTACTTTCTGGCAAGGAAAATCAACGGGGAAACCAGATTTACATAACAACCCTGTTATTAACTTAACAACAGCAGTGGTTCATTTAACGTCTCTGGCAAAAAGGTCATAAAATGGGGCAAAATTCACTTAACAACCATCTCACTTAGTAACGGAAATGTTGAGTTCAGTCAGTTGTGGTCGTAAGTCGAGGACTACCTGTACAAATTGTAACCATTTTGAGTGTGGTTAAGCTCTGAGATAAATCTTTAATCTGCGACAGGTTTTGTTCCTGTTCTCTATAAAAGCTTTGTTTTGCAGAGAAAGGACGTAATTATGTGAATAGATATTGTCGAGAAGAGAATTATCTTTTCCAGTTTCTAAGCTACGTTACGGCGATCTTTCAAAAATTATCTTACCAGCTGAAAACAGCCAAAGTCTTTGCGTCTTTGTACAGAAACCAGACAAGATACAAATCAAAATTAAAATGAGGTTTTGAATTGCAAAACTAAACATTAAGAAATGGCATCGCATTCAGTCGGTTCCCTCAAAACCACATTTTCACCAGCTTCTGGAAGGAAATAAGGGTGGGGTTTGTGCACACTTTGGGTGCAAGCCAATTGAAAACAGGGGGCTTGTTGTGTTTAGCGGCAGCAGGTGCAGACGGCTGTGGAGAGCGAGGACTCAGATGAGTGGCCAGGACCATTAGGGAGTGGGCTGCTGCCTTCAGAGATTGTGGGGGCTGGCAGCAGCGATGAGGAGGTTCCCGAGGAGCCTGTGCCAAGTGCACGTGCACGAAGGATTGCTCGAAGGAAAGAACAATTACAGCACCACAGGCAACTCGGGAGTAAGGCAGCAAGGTAATAGCCCCTCCCTGAAGAGGATAAAAGCCAGGTTTGGAAAAGCGTTCTTTGCAGACAGCAAAGAAGCTCTGAAGCTCAACTGATGGACATCTTAGTTCGTGCAAATTAGTTCTTATCACTGGGTTTTTGGTAGCCTTGACAAACAACTGGGCAAGGCTCTTTCTTGTTGGAGCTAATTAGCAGAAAGCAGCCTTCAGAAAAGAATTTGTCATTAAACCTTAAAAGTTGGGGGCTGTTGCCTTTGTCTGTGTTTGCTCTTTGGGAACCCGGTTGGTTCAGAACAGGGCTGTTTTGTGGTAGACCTTTTTTTTTTTTAGAAAAGTTTTTTTTTATAACAAAAACAACAAATAAAACCATCTTTCAGTTATACAGTGTGTCCGTTGGGTACATATAATATCTTGTGCATATAATAATATTGGTATACATTTCTTATTGAGTTTGCATTCATATTATATTGTAGTCAACATCATATATCCTCTTATATCATTATTACATTGTCATTAAGTTTTTAATTTCAATTTCAAACTGTCCTTAAAGGCAAATTCCAAATCTTACTAAATTATATTCATATTAAAGCTCATTCAAAAAATAATCAATTTTAGTATATCGTTACTAATGCAATATCCTTTAATTTCTAACTCTATTTTCTAGGCACCCACAGAATAACTCCCAAATCTTATCGTATTCCTTTTATTCTTGTTCTTTAATTGCCAATGTCAATCTATTCATTTCTGCACATTATTTTCTTCTTTAGAATATTTTATTTTTTAAAAAACAAAAATGCAAATCTCTATTCACATTAATGCTGTTCATGTCCTTATTAATACATACATCTCATTTTATACCTAAACATCCACTCTTATTTCTATCCTCTGTTATTTTCTTAATCACCTCCTCCTCCATTGGAATTTTCTCATTTTTCCAATTTTGAGCAAATACAATTCTAGCTTGGTAGACCTTATTTTGTGGTAGGCCTTATTTTGTGATAGTCATGGATCCTTAGCAGGGCCTCCCTATTTTTTCAGGTAACAATGGTGGAAATTAGGAAAAAGGCAGGGTTGTCAAACTTGATTTCATTGAGGGCCACATCTGGGATGTGTTTGACCCCAGAGGACCATAGGTGGGTGGGTGTGGCCATGGTGGGCATTTGACACAGGCACAAGATGCATTTCCCCCCCTTCTTTCTTTCCACAGTTCTTTACTATAACCGTTTTCCTATCCTTTCTACCAGATATCCTGCAGCATTCTCCCAGCCAAAAAGGGCCGTTGGGGGTGGTGGTGCCCCCCCTGGGCCCATTTTTGGCCAGCAGAGGCACCATGGACTGGTCCATTGATATTTCCAGGCCGGCCCCATGAACCAGATCTAAGCATCTTGTGGACCAGATTCAGCCCGTGGGCCTTGAGTTTGATAACCCTGCTCTAAGATATCTGGACCCAAAACATATAGAGCAGAGGTATCCAACCTTGGCAATTTTAAGACCAATGGACTTCAACTCCCAGAGTTCCCCCAGCCAGCATGGCTGCTGGGCAGAGGTGGTATTCAGCAGGTTCTGACCGGTTCTAGAGAACCGGTAGCGGAAATTTTGAGTAGTTGGGAGAACCGGCAAATCCCAACCCTGACCGGCCCTGCCAACCCCATCTATTCTCTGCCTCCCATTGAGTCCCAGCTGATCGGCTGAGTCTTCTTTGGTTGCCCTGCACAGGAGAACGGAGCTGGAAATCAGGTTAGTGGGGTGGGGAGGGAATGGGTATTTTGCAGTATCAAGTGACGCCCACAGAACCGGTAGTAAAAAACAATTAAATCCCACCACTGCTGCTGGGGTATTCTGGGAGTTGAAATCCACAGATCTTAAAGTTACTAAGATTGGACACCCTGATATAGAGAGATTCTATGGGCAGCAACAGCTGTTGTGGCTGGGTCAGAACAATAGCATCTTGAATGGCACTTGGAAACTTGCTATTAATTCCATGTAGAAAAGGCATAATGGGGTGATACTGAGACCAACCACCAAGCACCTTTGCTGTTGCACCTTGGACCAGCTAAAGTTTCCAGGTGATCTTCAAAGAGCAGCTACAGCGAGTAGCATTAATCAGATTAAGAGGTAGCAAGAGCATGTGTGACATCTTCAATGGATCCTGTTCCAGGTAAGACTGCAGCTGGTGCACTTCCTGGACATGATTTCTACCTGTTCTTTAAGTAGGAAATGTGATTGCAATGTGGGTGAAAAGCATTGTCTGAAAGTCTAGAGTAAGTGAAACATAGCCCGTTTGACTCCTTAAAGAAGCCAAAGTATGGAAACATTTCTCAATTGTTGGTCCCACCTACTTTTTGGAGCCTCCCGGGGCATAAAACAGATACTGGAATTCAAATGAGTGACCTGACTTACTCTGTAAGATGTGGAAGAGTTGCTGGTGAGGTACGTGGAGCTCCAAGCTGCACCATTTGCAATCTGGATGAATTTAAAGCAGGGTCTTCAAACTTGACAGCTTTAAGACTTGTGGACCAACTCCCAGAATTCCTGAGCTAAGATGACTGGAGGAGGAATTCTGGGAGTTGAAGTTCACAAGTCTTAAAGCTGTCAAGTTTGAAGACCCTTGCTTTAAAGCAAAAAAAAAATAATATCAACTTTATTAGCCCGCTGCAAACTCTTTTCTTCCCTGAAGCCTTCATCCCTGCCATATTATGATGGAACACTAGATGGTGCAATGAACTGGCAATCTTTTTAATCCAGAGAAATAGTTTTGATACCAAGAGTTGATAAGACAAACTGGGAAGAAATCATAGCAAGAGAAGATGCTTGTCTATCATGCGTCTCCAGCAGTGCTTTAAAGACGTTGAGGTGTTTTTGCGGTCAAAAGGGTGGGATTTATTCGGTACAAGGTTTGGCTTGAAGCGGGGGGGGGGGGGGTGTCCAACCATGTCAATGTTAAGACTTGTGGACTTCAACTCCCAGAATTCCTCAGCCAGCGATGCAGATTCTGGGGGATGCTGGCTGAGGAATTCTGGGAGCTGAAGTCCACAAGTCTTAATGTTGACAAAGTTGGAGAACCCTGGCTTAAACCAATCACGTAGAAGACAGAAAATTGAAAACTTCTTTGAAGATGCATTGAAGACTGAGATGAGTGGAGTGGAGTGGAGTGGAGTGGAGTGGAGTGGAGTAGAGTAGAGTAGAGTAGAGTAGAGTAGAGTAGAGAATAACAGGAAAGAACAGAATAAAATAGAGATAAAGGGACCTTAGAGATCTTCTAGTCCAGCCCCCTGCTCTGGCAGGAGACCCTATACCATTTCAGACAAGTGGCTGTCCAGACTGTTCTTAAAATCCTCCAGTGATGGAGCGCCCATAAGGCCAGCTGTTCTACTGGTTAATTGTCCTTACCATTAGGAAGTTTCTTCTTAATTCCAGGTTGCTTCTCTCTTTGATTAGTTTCCAACCATTGTTTCTTGTCCTGCCCTCTCTGGTGCTTTGGAGAACAATTTGACCCCCCTGTTCTTTGTGGCAGCCCCTCAAATATTGGAAGACTGCTATCGTGTTGCCCCTAGTCCTCCTTTTCTCTAGACTAGCCAAACCAGACTGTTGAAAGGAAAGATCAATTACTCCCCATGTCCGTCCCCACCACACACCCCCTCTGGATTGTTATGATCATGTCACGGGTTGGCTAGATGGCTGAAAAGGTATGGGCAATGGGAATGAATGCATTTTCACTCCCCTCCGTTTCAAGGAAAGTCTTTGCAAGGCCCCCAATTCATCTGCAATTTAAATACGGCACTTCATAATGATCTCTCGTTCATTCCCTGTCTGATTAAAGCACCATCATCTCCTGTCCCTCCGGGGAAGAGATCTAATCAGTTGACAGCCTAACAAACATTGCGTTTGCTAAAACGAGACCTGAGGATTTGTAATCATA